TATAAAGTTTAAATTATTTAATTTAATTTAAATTAAAATTTAAGTAACTTAATAATTTTGAAGACATTTGTAAACTTTGCTCAAATTTGAAAGGAAACACCCACAGGAAAACATTTTGACAACTTCTCCCTCCAAACCCTCACAGAACATGAGAGGTATAAGTTTAGTCCTTTCTCCTGGCTGTGTCAAATGAAATCCACTTTTTCCATTTCCTTTCAGAGTACCCCAACCACTGTGCATGAAAATATGGGTTTGCATCTTGATCCATCTTTTTCATGTTCTACATTAATATTTCAACATTCACTAGATCAATACTCCCTCCATCCCCCCATCAAGAAGTCACCTTAATTAAATTAATTCCAGACTCATTTTAATTCCCCCACTCAACAAGTATATTATACCTGAGGATACAACCCTCTGCTTACCACATTTGCTCAGAGAAAGTGGCTCAACTTCAGTAGGCGAGATGTCATGAATTTTAAGATATCTATACAGCGTACTGTAAAACCAGTATTGTATAAATTATCAAGAAAAGCAGTTTTTAATTCTAATATCAAAACTAAAAATGTAAGCTTATATGAATTAATTGCATTATTGGTGCTTCTACAATACTACTTACTACCTATTAGTATAATTTTATTTTGATTAAACTCTCAATACCGCATAACAAGATCAGCATAATTTGCTTTCCAAACTAGAAACTTTGAAAATCCTGAGCTGTATTAAAATCTGGTGCAAAAGGAACATAGCCTGCTTTTAATTTTTCATAAAGCAGAGGATCAGTGACTGGGACATGTATTTTACCACTATTGATTCCTTGTGCACAGGCAAAGGACACGGGTACTTACTACATGACTGCATCCTTGAAATCCCATTACTTGCTCCATGCAAACTGGAGTCAAAGCTCTGACTGTTTCTCACAGTGACTGGAGAACTAGCAAAGCCAGCATTACTGTTAATGGTAGGGGTACTTGGCATCCGAGCGAGGTTAGGCATGCTTCTTCGAAGTTTATCTGCAGCAAAAGAAGACAACATCCATAGTCATGTCAGATTTTCCAACAAACAAAAGCAGCCTCTGAGTAATTTCTGTAGCAAATCAAAATTAAAAAAAATTACTTCATCACAAAGAAAGGTTTTGCTCTGCAGGAAGAATATGAATATGCTATTGACAGCCTACTAATTGAACCCTTTTGACTATAGTAATGGCATGATTTTCACAAATCATTTTAAAGACACCGATAGGCAGTACATTTTCAGAATCACAAGGATTTAAACACTGAAGTGTCATAATACGGACAAGTTTCACGTAAATGTGTAAAGTAGGTCAGATGAATCATGCCCTAAATGTCCCCGTTTCCTTGCAGTGAATACAAAGCAAGGCTGCAGTGACAGTCAGATGCAGGTATCTACACTGTGGATGTCTAAAGACAGGTGAGATGAATCAATTCTAAGTGATTAAAGTCTTGCTTTCAAATGTCAATGAGATGCTAAAAAATTTCATTCAGTACCTAACCTTATTAGGATGTTAAGTTTCTGCAGGTGGCCATGCATGAACACTGCTAAGTCTTGATGCTGTTCAGTTGCTCAGAGCCCTGGGCTGACATCAGGATTTTCAGATGGGGTGGTTCTCCTTCCTGCTCCACTTGCGGTGCCTGATTTGGTGGGCATTTTTAGAATAGGTCTGTAGGGCATTTCAGGAAAAGAAAGCTGCAAATGCCACAAATGTTGTTGGGGCGGGTTCAACAGCTAAGGCCAGCGTCTAAGAAGTCAGATGATGTCTGCAAACCCACTCAGACTCATTGATTTGGAAAGAGAAGCCAAAACCAAGCCTGATATCTCAAGAAGACTTCCCAATCACAACAGCATTAGGTAATCTAAGGTGAAGCTCTTTTGGTCTCCTCTGCTGCAGGGCCAAAGAGTTCTGTATAATCAGAAGAGACTGGTGGGGGCAGAAAGGCACACACTGCATTACCTGGTCTTGGATTGCATCCTGTGACACAACAGACTTCAGTAAAGCATCGCTGTGGGTAAATAATGGGTCATTTGTTAAATTGTCATTGACAAAACCCCTAACACTGGCCTCTTGGGCAGGTTCAGGAGCACAAGTGCTGAAGTGGTTATGTTCCTCCTGGTACCGCAGTCAGCGTGGAGGCCACCACCTCCTGCCCCTGCCTTAGGTTCCAGCACCTGGCAGATGTCTGCCTCCAGTTCTCACACTGAAACAGAAAGCAGGGATATGCTTGTCTTCTAACAGGCAGCTACCACTGCTCCCTCCAACAGCAAACGGGGCATTTTGAGACTGACATTTTCGATTTATGCACCAGAATGACACCACATATGGCTTGGAACCGCTGTTTGGGGTTGGCCTCCTAGCTCTCACAGGGCAAGTTCAGTCCACAGAAACAACGAATTGACTTAGGAATCTCCATTTATCAGTCCGCAGAAATATACAACCTATTCAGTACCATCATGAGCTCCTCTAATCCTTAAAGCTGCTAAACAACTGACAAGTAATATGAAGTGACAGTACAGTTCTATCTATACAAGGTATTAGTAATCACTAACAGTAACTTCAGTACATGTGATGCCTATGTAACTCCAGCAAACTGGCTCACAGAAGGCTACAACTCCAGATGTTTTTTATGGCTGGTCCTCACGACAAGAATAGTAAAAAACATTCTTGGACTTCAAAGGTCCAGCATTTCTAATATCCTCGTGTCCCAAGTCCCAATTATTAGTGCCTACCTATCCTTGACACTACATCACGCACACTAATCCTGTAATGATAAGACGTTCTTCTCTCCCATCTCATCTAAGGTTGATTTTCAGTTACCATAGATGGTCTGACATAGAAAACTACTGTTGTCTAGGAAATAGTTTAAATATTCCTGTGAATTAAATACACTACATTTTCATATTTTTGAAATCAAACAGTAGGTATGGGAGGTAAGATAGGGAGGAGTTCAGTGCAGGAAAAGGAAATTCAAGGTTTGAGTTCCCAGAAACCAGAGTACAGCCAAATCCTAATAAAGAACCAGTATAAGTGTAATCTTTCATCAAAGAGTTAGAGGTGCTGTGCTGCAGTGACTCACCACTGACACTGGCAAGCTGAAACTGTCAGTGATACTGCAATGAACATTAGCAAAGGGATTACCACTGTGGTTCTGTGAGGTGGTAAGTATTAATATCACAGGTATGACAACGAAACAACAGTTAACAGGCTTCCAAAACTGTCCAGGGGATGCAAACAACAGCATCCATATAGCTACTGTATGTCCCAATTTCCGAAATACTTATGATTTTGCAAACTGGAAAGGGAACTCCCTTGTTCTGATGCAAGCCTTCTTGACCCAGAGTGACAGAAAATTCATGGATGTCGGTAGCTACTGATAATTTTGGAGCCCTAGCCTACCCTTTAAAATCCTATGTCCTTAAATTCTAAGTTAACATTACAGTACTTAACAAAAATGTTTTGAGCAGCAGGGAAGATGGCACTGCATAAAATAGCTTCTTCTCTAATACTATCTACATATCACGCTACATAAGCAGAATTCCTTGGACTCTATATGCTCTTCCATTCAGGGACTGCATCATCCACCACAGGCATGATCTGCGCCTTGAATTGTCCAATGGATGCAGCTACAGTAGCAGGAAAAATGGGTATAGAAGTAGCTTGGATTTCCTCCATGTCACGGATGGCCACATCTTTTGTCTCCTGTTCATTAGTCCCTTCTCATTCCAGCAGTCTGCTCTGCTGCTGATTCAGTCCTCAGGCAGCAGGTTCCTGCTGCACCTGCAAATTCTCATCCATCGAGCATCTGGGTTACTTCTTTGACAGGTCCTTGTCTCTGCTGAGATAAATGGTCCTGAAAAGCAATGAAAATAGCAGGTCAGTTTTGTGTTTGGGGAAAACCCAGAAACGTTCATCTTGATGGCATTTTGCAGCTTTTATCTCCTTGGTTGACGCATCCTCTTTAATCTCTTTCTTGAAGTTTGTTCTGTCACCTGTTTCTCTCCTAAGAACAGCAGAAAGAGTCTTACAGAAACGTTGCTTGTAAATGAAATGCTGCTCTCGTGAGCTTGATATATGGAAGCAGAAGGTGGGAGTTATGCGATTTTAATATTATTTCAGGCCGCTGAGACGTGACTAGATACGAACTTGCTGGAAATATATGAGAAGAAAACAAAAATATTTTTCCAAGCCACTAGTAGCAAACCTTCCCTTTCTAGAGGTCTTTGCTCTCCTAAGACTGATGACAAATTTTACAGAGAGGAGGAGTAGAGCTGAGATCTGTTCTCAGGTGAGAAGTAATTTGCCCCAATAATCCTGTTTATGATGAATGCTGAAACTTGCTACACTTTCTGCTACCTCTTCTGCACTAATCTGGTTCAATGGCAAACCAAGAAGTCATCCGTTGTTTACAGGTCATCCTGTTGGGAAGACGGGGTTATCAACACCAGTGAGGAACTCCAAAGGACCTTCATAGCATCCAAAGTTATTGTGACCCACTACTGAGTCTCAGCTATAATCCAGGCCAAAACAAATATGATGTCTAAGTAGGATGCAGCCAAATAAAGCATCACAGCTGTATCTTCACCTTTCCTAGCCTTCTTTGAGGTGTAATAGCACGACCTACAGACATTGTATTATTGAGATATTTGAAAGTGTGAAGAAAATGCCAGGATAGGTCATGCAAGGTAGCTAATAATCAGTTCTTGTCTACTACAATGTTCTCAGGATAGTTCATGCATATACACATGCTTGTCACTTCGTCCGTGTTCTTTAGGTGGCACACATTGCCTTTGTTTCACATATCTGAATCAGAATGATGCATCAAAAAATCACCTACTGCATGTTTAGACTTTCCCCCCCACATGGCATCCATGCTGAATTGCCTGTTGCCTACAGCACAGGAAAAACTGGGATTTGTGAAATACAGGGTTCTCTGCCCTCAACTGAAAATATGCATGAAAAGACCATCCCATAGCACAGATCTTATTCACAACTTGTGAAAAATGGGTCAAAAAGCAGACAAAAAGCATCCTTTACTTTGTCAAACATTCCACAAAATTACAGTAAAGAGAGCAGTTTGCCTCTTACCCAGCTGCTTCAGTTCTGATTTTTTCCAGGAAGTTCATCCCTCGATGCTGTTTCTTCTCTGAAGTCAGACTGGGATTGGTGGCCCAGCTTCTTTCTGGCAGGACACCAGCACCTTCTCTCTTCTGGTCCCAGTACCACTGGTGCCTGCCCCCATTCCACTGCTTCTTTTTTTTTTCCTTCCCTGACCCAATACTATCACCATCGAAAGATTAATGTCCATGTAGCACGCAAACAGACCTTGCCCTTGGAGCAAAGCTGCCCCAGAAGAGGTGCACTCTTGCTGAGCTGCCAAACTGGGAGTTCTGTAGCGGTTCTTGTTAAATATCATCTTCTCTTTGCCAAGATACCTCATCCAGTGAGGCTCCCCTTGCAAGGAGAGCTTAAGTCGATTCCACAGTGAAGTGTCTTAAAACACATTTATTCATTCATTGTTATTCTCTGCAAGCATTGTCAATGTTTTATTTGAGCAAAAGGACTCACAAGCCTTGCCAAAAGTGCACTATCGTTAAGTAATGTGATACAGTGAATCATAATTATTAGTGTCTCAGAGAAATCTATATCACTGCTTAAGCTACGTTAGCAGTTTCTTACACATATTTAAACCCTTCATACAAAACCTGCAAATTCACCTCTGCCTTATTTGTATTGTATGGACAAACAAGTTGGGGGAAAAAAGTAAGTCAAAAAATCTGTGCTTTTCTATTTTAAATATTATGTTCTATATTATGTAGATATTCTGAGTTTTTTCTGAAATCCTTAACAAACTTGTAGACTCAGTTACAACTTCACTTTAAGTAATTGATTTCTTTTCCTCATCTTTGAAGACCCGAGTTCAGTATCTGCATTACATTTATTATGGTTATAACATTTATGACATCCCAAATACACCAGGGTCTAATTAAAGGTCTGTGGAATCATCAGGTGATACAACACAGACATCAGTGTGTAAAAATACAAATACAGATTAAGAACTAAAAACAAGTCTTTCAGTTAAGCAAGAGACACCATTCTTCATAATTGTCAATACCTAAACTTTACTAACATTGAACACTTCCATTTTATTTAGAATTATTCTTTCACTCACCCTGGCTTCACAGGCATATGTGTTCCTCCACAGATAGTTACAGCAAATTAAAGATTTTTCCATTATCCTTTGATGACATATCCCGCACTGATTACTATTCTCAATAAAACTTCAAAGGTGACTAAGTAAGATTTTTTCCTCCTTTTCTTTAATAAAGGGTGTGCAGCAATTTCCTGCTGTGAATTCTCCCTTCCTTACTGAACAAGAGAGGTTATGAGCAGAACAACACTGTGTAAATCAGTAAATCAAGAAGAACACTTTTTCCCACCTCTCCAAACACAGCAATCAATGTTATTCTATACTGAACTGATATGTAAACACAGACCTACTGCCCCTGAAATGCTGCTCTTCTATATGGGCCTGGAGTTTGCTTAAAAAAAAAAAAAAAACACCAAACAAAAAAACATGTGCAGCTTTCCAAATGAAGCAAGACTGTTGCAACAGCCAATGATGATCATAATATTTTGCTTGAGAAAAGGTATTCCCCAGAAGTGTGTATAATAAAGTAACTCATAACTAGTAATTACTGGAAAATAAAAGCAACTTTTTTCAATTGAATGGCATCCATGGCCTGTTTTCGAAGGTATCAACCAAGCAAAAATTTAAAAATCAACATGAGAAGGTAATGGAAAATATAAATTAAAATTAACCAAATTGCAAAGTTAGAACCAAACCAAAGTTAGAGTAAGTACTTCAGCTAGTGCACCCTACCAAACAAACTTCGCAAAAAGCAGGTAGGACAGCATCCCTCATACTGTTTGTTCCTAAAGGCAAAAATTTGTACTTCAGCTAAACACATAGACTTGTTTTGGGGAGACACTGTGTCAAAGCTAAAACACTGGTTTTTTACCCCAGATTAAGCGCCAAAATTCAACAGTCACTTGCCACTTACTCTTCTTTTATTGAGAGCTCTGTGAATGATCAGATAAACCAGGGGCCAGACTGTTGACTGCACACACAAGAACACAAGTGATCTCTTCGGGGGAAGAGAGAGAAAGAGACATTTGGGAAGACTGCTGGAATGGCTCAGGGCAGCACAGCATGTGCTATATGCAACTGTGATTAATTATGGATGATACTTTCCACATATATTGAAAGCAGTAACTAAACAGTTTAGCCCTTACATCTATCATTTGCTTTGGTAAACTGTAACACACCATCCATCATATTGAGCTTCAGACAAATTCTTATTTAGCAGACTACCTCCATTTCACCGTGCAGAAGTATTTGAAAGACAATGAAATTTTTTGCCAGGATGATGATAAGTGCTGATGAGATGTTGTCATAATACTACTCAGACATACTCAATACAGCGAACACTTGAGTCCTTGTTTGCCAACAGAACACAGCCGAAGCAAAACGTTTCTCAGGATCAGTATTTGCCACTTACACGGATCAGTGCTGCATGAGTCAGAAGCTGAGGGTGCAGAAGCTGAAGAGATAATTCCCCTCTAAAGATAGCGGTACTGGCTATTATAGGACTGTCTGCCATCCCACCATCAGGTAAATGAAGTCACATGTATCCATCTTCTCAGTGACACCAGATTATCCAATAGATTATCCAACACCTCAAAGTTCTTGCAAAAAAAGGCAACCAGGTGGTACAACTGGTGGCCTATTACATATATATGCTTTCTAGTTAACAAACTAGGAGTCTAGTATTTTTAGTGCCCTGTAAGTACTTTCTGAGGTTTCCATGTGGGAATCCAATGCTTAATTTCCACTGACATTGAACACGAAAAAAATCACTGATAAAGCATTTGGGGACCATATAAAAAGATTGCAGCACCACATCCTGCCCTTCTTCCTGAATCAAAAAATGCCCATAACCTTCATTTCTCTCTCCCCAACATTTCTGCAAGCCCATCAGTTCTGTTCCATTCTTGTACCTCACCGGCAAGAAAAATGACATTGAAATTAATATAGCACATATGCTGTACCAACAAACACCCACATCACTCTACCCTCTGTTAACATTATCCTCCTTTATATGCTGCCACTTGTTGATTATACTTCCATGCTTGTCTTACTTTGAATGCAAGTGCTTTTGGCACCAACCCGTCAGGAAGGCAGCATGCATACCTGTAGCACTCTATAAATAGGAACTATGTATTGCTCACATTTATTTTCTTGCCCAAGGCTAAGCTGTAACCTGTAATGTTAGAAACAAGACCCTGGCTGAAAACTGACTGTTTTCAATTAGCTTGGGGAAAAGACTGAAGGAATAGAAAAGATGCAGCGGGAGGAAGAAAATTGTCATCATAATAAGGAATGAAACGAAGGTAACAGCAACAATTAAGGGAAACTTAAGTCTTGAGTAAACATTGAGAGACAAATCTTCCAGAGACTCTGGAATACATCTTAAATGCAGTGCAAAAAGCAGCAATGGCTCAGGATAGTCTGGGAGTGACATTATCTCCCACTACTTTAACAGTCTGCCTTAGCAGACCTGAAACAGGAGCAGGGTGTTGACCCCCGCTTTAAGAACTCATTGTGGATTCACAGCATAGCTGCATTAACAGCAACATCAGGAATAAGAAAGGGAACAAAAATCTGAAAAAGCTATTTTGTATTTTACTGTATCCACAATGGACATACACAGGCCAAGCTTAAAAGCCTGATCAGTTCTTCTAACCAATTATTAGCCTGCTGAAAGACGCTTTTCTTTCCTTTTTTTCTTCACTTGGGGTCATACTTGCAGAACTTTAAAACAGACTAAAGCAACAACTTTTATCACCAGGTCACAGATTACATTTTTGCAGTAAATTACTTAATTATAACATACCTCAATCATTTGCACAGGCTTAAATTGCTTGTCACAATTCATGGCCTGATCTAGCTGTCATACACTAAATGCACTTCAGCCGGTTGACACAACTCAGTCTCTAAAATGATACTGGCACTTTGCACAGAGAAAAGACCACTACTCAGAAAAAGCATGCAACCCACCTCCGTTAATCCTATTTGGTTGCTGCTCTGGAGTTTGCGCTTGAGGAGAGGAGTAGGGCTGCTGATACGTATTTGAAGGGAAGTGTGGGGAGGTAGAGCTCCTCCTGCAGTCCCGGATACTGGAGAAAGTCTGTGAGTGAGGAATCCCTCTCTGGAAGGGGGAGCAGCGAGTCAGCCGTGGCTGCGGAGGCGGGAGGTGGTCAAACTCTTCCTCATCCTCCAGACTATAGCGATCATATTCCTGGTCACCACTCGTCCCTTTCTTTCCCGTGTGCAGAGAGATGCTCGAACTGTGCCTTGACACAGACGCTGACGTCGAAGCATAATCTTGCCTAAGGCCTGTAAATTCCAAGAAGAGGATGATTCAGCTTCTGCTAAGCAATTAAAACCTAACATGCACTTTGATCTTGAAAACTAAGCAAACAAGTAGGCACAATTTTCCAGCAAGAACTGGATTTACGGTGTCAGCAGGCTGAAGTTCGGTGTCTATCTTGCAGGTATCTAAGCCTGAATTATCTCGCTCGAGATCCCTTTCTAATAAAAAATTAAAAATAAAAAAGAAAAAAGAAAGAATACAGGCATCTCCAAAATGCAGTATCTGTGAGATGTCTTAGATTCCTCTCTCAAAACAAGATGAACTGCTTTTAGGAGGTGCCTATTTCCCTGACAATGAAAAGGCTATATGAGTATTAAGTATTTAACTTTGAAAAACCCTAAATTAGAGGAATTAACACTCACCCTATTAGTTTTCGAAGTTATCGGCTAGCAGCCTATCTCATGGGCAAGGCTTAGTGGTAACACGGCCGTGTTTTAGACAGGTATGTATCCTACCACCCCCTTCTCAGAATGCCAGGTTTTAAAAACCATCCAACTATTAGCATTGCCCTAGAAGAGCATCTTTCCTCCAGGTCAGATGAGAGGGAAATATCCACAGCCCTTGCACATCCTTCTTTTCCCGGTTGCACAGCAGCCAGGGAAAAAGGGGATGTACATTGTGTCTTCAGGAGTCCAATAACTCTGCCAATAGCTGCAGATAACAACTTTCCTAGAATTACAAAAAGCCCTCAGCTTTGACAGATGTCTTTGCTATCATAATGAAAACTTCTTAATATGCTTTCCCTTCCCTTTTGAGTGGGAGTATCTGTTTGTGGCTGTGAAGACAGTGTGCCTGCATGGACGTATAATACTACCAGTTTCCATGGGATTAAGTGGACAACAACCGTCACATGCTCAAACATTCAGTACCAGCTGCTACTACAAGGATGAGATACAACCATTATACCTGACATAGATTAGAAGAAAAAGTGTTTTTCTTTCCATTTTACCAGTGACTTGATTCCTTAAAGAGCTAAGTACCTGAAGTCTTTCTAAACCTGACTCTGAAGGAGACGAGGGCAGCTGTAAGTAACGCAATCCTTTGTGTCTTTGATAGTCAATCATTTCTATTTTGTTAAAAATTCTTATCACTTTCACACAATATCAGAATTTTTCCAAGCTGTGACCACACACATCTGCCAGCTGAGAATTCAGCTATCTTGGAAAATCTCACACCTGCTGATTTTTCTGCTGAACATAACAACTGTTACCAGACGCTCAGCAAGTTCGACTGCTGAAAAGCAACTGCTCCAGCCTGCTCACTCTGGTTGCTGCAGCCACACTGCAACTCTAACTTCTTCACATTTTTTCTTTATTTCATTTAGTCACTTATTACTTGGCATTTTCCTTCAGTCACCATCTCTGAATTTCTCTTGTTTTTCATCTCATCAGTTTCTCCTTTATGTCTCACTTGGCACTAATAGGAAGTGAGAAAGATACTGCACTTACTGAGTGACTTCTAAATCAAATTCCTTTTATTTATGAATACAGGCATTTTCCAAAAATTACTATCAAGCCAAACCATAATCTATGTCAAACAAACTTTCAGGTTTAGATTTGTCCGTAATCACTAGTCTCAAAGCAAAAGGCTAAATTTAAATTCCCCAATTCAGGACCTAAAGGGGAATGAATTTCAAAATTCAACTGACAATTAAGAAAATGAAAGTAGGGGCAAAAAAATCTGTGACAGCTGCTTATTTTTTTTCCTTTCTCATTAAATGTATGCATGACAAGAATGCTTTAGGACTTCCCCTCCCTACAACTGAAATAATTTTAATTAATATGAGAAGACATTATAAAGCTTCTAAATCTAAACACGCTCAATGGGTATGGAGCTCCCAGGATTTGGCAACATATAAGCATCAAGTTTTGAAATATCCAGTACCATTAACCCGATATCAACGTGTGGGTTTTTTCACCTGCCACTCAAGAGGTGACACCATTTAAGAAAGATTCACTTGACTGAGACTATACTGGAGCAGTTTTGACTGTTATGGTAAATCTTCCTCAGACTATTTTGAAAATTGAAAAAAAGCCACCTACTCTCCTCCTGTAAACGAGCCATGATCTGAACATCAGTCAGGTCCTGCAGCTTGTATCCCATGGAGATGGAATCATCCTCCAGCTCTGAGGTGCTCAGTTCACTGTCTATTGATGACTGCGGGCTCAAAGGGGAACTCCTAGAAATGTAACCTATGCAAGAAAACATAACATTTAGCTTGTGAATATGCCTGGCCATCTTTCATTCACGACTATCTGCCCTTTATGTTATAGTAACTTAAAATATTTTCTGTATAACAGATAAAAATTTTCAGAAGGTAGTGCAATCCACTAACAATTAGCAAAGGGCTTTGATACTTGTGAGAAGTAGTAAGTGTAGTAAAGGATCATTAATTCCTCTGCTTGTTCCCAAAATAGCATCACATAACCCAAACAACAAATAATTTACCCAACACAGTTCTGACACAGCTCAGATTAGTTAATGTAGTCTAAACACATCTGCATTTGAATCCCTCTTATTGGACTGTGGTTATCCTTACTCTGTTCTGAAAACCAAGTGTGTGTGTGTCACCAACTTCTGCTCAGTACTCAGATTCTACCAAGCCATTTATCTCAATTTTACTGTTTTTTATCTGATAATCATCAGATAAATAAATGATTATAACAATTACAACTGAATATTACACAACAACAAAGCATTGACTCCTTCACAGAGTTACCTTTTGGAGAGGGCTCTGGAGTCTACTTTTTCCCTGAATGATAGAAAAATATGGTTGCATAAGCCAGTTGTTGCCCAACTTTAAAGAAAAATTCTGCAAATAAAACAGTAAATAATTTCCTAACATCCTCTGGACCACCAGAGGCCCACAGCCTGTAAAGCAAGAAATGCTGAGACTATGGCTCACCAGCTATGCCTGTTATCACAGAGGTGGCTGCATCGTCTAGCACCGCTCAAAGCAGCCACCTAGAATTCATCCTAAATTCAGCTGTTCTCTAATAAGACCTCCAACAGAAAAGGATGCCCAGGGGATCACTTTGCTTTGGTAGGACTGCAAGGAGTAAATGCGTTTGCTTTTTTAAATTTGCAAGTTACAACAGCCCTCGAGGTTTTGCAGAGGTAGTAACAGCTGTGCCCTTTTGGAGCAGCAGTGGGAAGCTAGACACACCTGCTCCCACCAGCAACAGAACGTTAATGCCTCTTCCCCAGAAGACTATTTCCTCTACTACCATTACAGCTTAAAAGAAGTCACAGACATAAATTGACTCCTGGTACCTGTGGTGAAGGAAAAATGCAACTCTTTGCAATCTACAGCCCATAGAAGGTTTGCATTTTTCCTAAAACTTCTGTGTCCACTGAAAATCAGTGGCAAACACAAAATAAATCTTGGATAGCAGCCACAACACCAGCTTGAAAACAGCCATAATTCTGATGGCTGTTTTTATTATAGAGAAATTCTCCCTGTAACTTCATTACACAGTTGCACGAATGTTTCTGTAGACATAAAGAAGGGGCACAGTGGAGCAGAAATGAACACTAAAGGGCAGACAAAGCTGGGGACTGTTTAAGCTGACACAGTCGCAACAATACCCTCAGGTAAACCATTATTGAGAAAGAGGGTCTGTTTACTAGCATCACTTCCCTACAACATGCCATCCAACACAGAAAATAACCTACACTACCAGTTAATTGCCAAATTTTAGGTAATTTAAATATCTCCCTCTGAGATCAGTCTATACAATCATTGAAACAGTGTAGTGCTGCTATGTGCTAGCAAGATTAGACTAAATTAAGCATTTCTGTAAACACCATAAATCAATAAAAAGATAAGCATTACCTGTCCGTTCAGGTGTTAGTATTGCTTTACTGGAGGTTTTAGAGAAGCTGGGACTATTAAAGCCATTGGTATATGGGGTGAGTCTTGCAACAGGACTATAGGGAAAAGCCAAGGAGACAGGCGTAGAGAAGAGGTTCCGCCATCGGCTAGCTGTTAAAGATGCGAGGGAGGAGGGGGAAAAAAAATTTACAGTTATAAACAGAATAGTCCTGTTAGAGAGAAAAATTATCTCATCTTAATCTGTTCATTATACAAGAGGAAAATAATGGTCAAAGTTCAGCAGCAAAACAGAGGACAGCCTTCTACATCTAAATGTGTGTCCCAAAAAGATTTCTAGCAAGTATGTCCTGTTTATAATTTTCTATGTATATACCATTTCAGTATGTATGTATCACATACAACACTGTGTGCCAACACACAAAGTAATGGAAATAAAAACCACTACAGCTAATAGAGAAACACAGATGAAACTCACAGTGTTCTTCAAGGAATTGTTCATGGGAATCAATCATCCCACAATTGCATTAGCAGTTAAATTATCAGTTATGGGAGTTCAGAGACACAGCTGTAAAAGACGCTTAACCATCAAGCACTAAAAAAACTGTAATCCCATAGCACGCTTTTAAGCTACCATATTTTCCCTTCTCTTTATACAGCATCAAATTCCTGATTACATAACCAGGGGGTATTTTGTTTTGTTTTGTTTTGTTTTGTTTTTTTTTCAGTGTTTTTGGAGGATCAACCAAATAATAGTACAGGGCACCTCTTTTTCTACATATGGCTTACAGCAAGCTTGCAAGGCATCTGGTCTGCTCAGTAACACCACAGAGAGCTCAGAGTAGGAAAAAAGCTATAGGCTTATTTAGTTTACATTTTATTAGCGCATCCAGTAAAATATGAATACAACTGTCCTTTGGTTTGTGTATTTTTTAACATGTGTTTAGAAGGTAACAGAAACAATATCCACACGCCCTTCAGAATACAAATAAATATTAGAGATAATGTTGTTTTAAGTAGAAGGAAAAGGCAAAATTTAAAAAAAAATGAATTTCAGAGAACCCATTCAGATAAAAGCAAAGTTTGTGCAGATGAAAAACAAATTATACCCTTGCATGTTTATTTGTGATAGATCTATTTTTTCCTGACAGACGTTATGTACAGTGACACAAGGAAGGGAGCTAGAAAACTGGCTATAACTAGGTTAGAAGTTACGGCATAACCTTGACACTCAGCAAGTGTACTTTGTGGTGTCAGATGCCACAAACGGGTTTTCAAAACTAGAAGGGTCCAAAAGCCCTCAAAAGCTATTCTCCATCACATGGCTAGCTAATACCACGAATCTGCCATGTTGTTTGGACCTGTTGATCCAGAGGTTTTAAACACTCACAAATATTAAAATAATATTCAGGCCCTCTCTGTGTTAAAACCTCACTGTCACCGCAATGTGACACAGAAACTTTATTCTTCCTTCTCGGTAACATCACACTGAGCAGCCATGGGAACAGCAGGGAAGTGTATCTTGTTGGCAGGCTGTCAATCACATCCTTGCAAAACTTTTGGAGCAATCAGTTCATCATCAGTCCAAAAGATGCTATTTCCCCCCTATTTCTTTGTCTCACTCAAAGGTACCCCTGGGTTTGTAAGCAATAAGCAGCCTTTTCGACTCTTCCCACTAGTGCTACTCAGCTTGGAGCAAAGGCGGTTGCCTGGTTCCATCACTGGCACAAAGCAGTCTGCCAGGAAAGGGGAGTACCTGCAAGGCTCAGTCTCTCTGGGAGGCAGCTAAACTACAAATTAGTAAAATATAAAAACACCAATTGTGTCTTTGCTGTTTCCTCATCATAGAATTATTGCAATACCTTCCTTTTTCATTATTCTAATTCCTTCAGGCTTAAAGAAATAGAGGTCTGAGATCATAACTAGGAGCAGCATCAGCACCACTTCTAGGAAATTGCTCGATGCCAAGCAACACGACACAGACTTCCAGGCAGGGCTATTTGTCCTTTAACATTTACTAACGTGATCCATTCAAAAGCCAAGTATGCAAGTGTTCTAGGACAAAAAGAAGAGCAAACACAGATGGACACAACGCTGCAAATTAGTAATTAACAAAAAGAGTTAATAACCTCAAATTGATTTGTGGTGTTGACTGAAAGAAATGCACGTGACAGAGTAGATCTCAATATCATATCCACAGCTAACGTTTGTAATTTCCACTAGAAACCATCAGAAGGAGCAAAGGACGACAGTTTCTTGCCATTTTATTTTTCTGCCTAACACAAGATCCCGTTTTGTGGCAGCTTGATCATTTGCCAGGCCAGTTAGCTGCCAGCATGTTCTCACCCCCAGATGTGGTCAACCGTACAGCACAAATAAACATCATTCATTACCCTCTACAATAACCACTGTGAGCTGGCCCACCAAGCACAAAGCAACAGTTATCGTGACTATGAAAGCAAGAACCCACACAAATAATATAATTAGTATTTACGGCAAATTAGATTCCAAACTCCTCTTTCAAACAGTATATGCTCTCAAGGAAAGGCAGAGGAAAAAGCCAAGAAATCCTACGTACACTGATCTCTCTATACACCAAATCTCTAGAATTCTAGAACCTTTGCCACCATGCCTAAAATATAACTTCATAGTGGTTAAGCTTCAGCAAAGGATTGAGACTTTTTATACATTCGATTAACTCCACTGTTTAGGATCAAATATAGAAAAATGTTATTAGGTTTCAAACGGAAATATCAAAGTACATATTGAATACTTCTACAGAATTAACACAGCAAAATCAGACTTACAGAAGTCTTGTGTTAATGCAGAAACATAAAAAGGTATGTAAGAAGCAAGTGCTACGGACATCTAGGGAAATACATGAATTCATGTAAAAATCTATAAAATCCCCAAATTGCGCAATGGATAGTAATTTTGACAGTTATTTTACTCCAAACTGACTGTGAGATTGCCCTGGTTATTAGCATGGTATAGCACCACTCTGGTATGCATGGATTTGTTCTTTTTTTTCCCAGTAGGCTGTTTCCAGAGAATGAGACAATGTTGTTAAAACTTTTATTTTAAATTTAAAAGCCCAGCTATTAAGTTACGGATTTTACAATATTTGTAAACATGTGCAAATATTTGGGGCTTCTTAAAGTCCCACCTCCGGCTGCCCACAGACGAAGTAAAAAATTCAGGTACCTTTTAAAAACAAGTGCATTTTCTAACCTTTGCAGTTGAATGAATAATCCTGCTCTGAGTACTTCATACTGAAGATGCACTGAAGGAAGAAAAAGTATCAGCCTTGGAAAGGAAAGCAGTGGCATCTAAAGAACCATGAAGAGAAAAGAAGCCAAAAAAATCCATTTGGTTTACTGACAGCAAAGCTTCAAATGCATTAATAATCTGACTTCCTGAAGCATGACACTGTCAGCCTTTCACACCAACAAAGGAACTAATATTCTCTAATACAACAAGCACAAATTGTCCTAGTCATCAAATTTAGATAGGAAGTGTCCAAATTTTCAGGTATGATTTCCCTGGTTTTCATCAATTCTTAGTAACTAGATTGATGGTAACATGCTGCAGTACACAATGTACACTGTAATATTTTTTAAAAGGATGTCAAAATTACTACCTAATCAATCAAACAAAACCTCTCCTTTAAAAAAATCAAATCACCAACAAGCAAGCCTGTTCATAACTTTAAAATATTTATTAACACAACTGAAGGTTTAAAAACTAATTAAGACCTTATTTTTATAACTTCCCTGCAGATATAAAAATGCTAAAATAGATGAGAATAGTAACTCACATAGAAAAATATGAGCAACTACATAAACACAAATATTCATCATACTGACTCCTATGAATAATCAGCCTTTGATGAGAACTGCTGGAAAATTTCACATGAAAACCTGAATAAGTAAACATCTACAGCATTGCATGGCTCAAAAGGAACGGAGCACCCTGCAAAACCAGAGCATGCTGTACCATATCTAAAGCAAGCCCTTTAGTAAAAACAATTTCTCATTTAAGATACATAAGGTATATACAATTTCTAAATATATACAGAAGCATTTTTTTGAAAGTGAAGACGAAATTTGCTGTTCAAATTAATGGGAACGTTCATAAGGTAGGACAGGAGGTAAAAGTGGCATAGATTCTCATTATGTTGTTTTAATTTTGTGGGATTATCTGATATAAAACAGGGACAGATCAATTACAAGTCCTGTACTTGGTGAACCTGATATATGTAAGATATATTAGCTAAGGATATCAGGGTCTCCAAGAAACCAAAAGAAGAACATGCACATTTTAAACACCATTCATTTTTATAACTCCATTATGAAACTCAGTGAACTCATTTTGACAGAGTTCTCTAACATGGCAACTTATTTTCACACTCTAAGCAACCGTCCCCCAACAGCAGAAGGGTTGGAATTCAGTGATCTTTAAGGTCCTTTCCAGCCTAACCATTCTATGATTCTACCTAGTTCCAACCCCCTGCCATGGGCAGGGACACCTCCGACTAGACCAGGTTGCTCAAAGCCTCATCCAGCCTGGCCTTGAACACCTCCAGGGATGGGGCATCCACAGCTTCTCTGGGCAACCTGTTCCAGTGCCTCACCACCCGCACAGTGAAAAATTTCTTCCTAATGTCTAGTCTAAATCTACGCTGTTTCAGATTAAAAAAAAAGCACCTCAGTAGCTCCCAAACACATACAACTTAGAAGTACATACAATCCTTAGGTCTGCTTCACAGGTTGAGGCGTTCAGCTTCTGTGCTCAAAAGAGGACTGGAACATCTTTCCAGGGTTTATTTGAACCCAGTGATTCAAAGCTTTCCTTTGCAATTGCAACTCCTAAAAACTTACTTTTTTGAAAAAAACAGTGTTTTTATTAGTTACAACATTACAAGTTCAGGGCCCAAGACAGCAATGTTTTCAGCTCTAGTAACTGATTATTCAGTTGTACCTGTAAAATTGGAAATAGTCTCTGACATGTACATATTGCCATCTTGCTAAATGCTACTGTACACTGAACATCCTGACTTTTCAAGTAGGACACTCCTCATTCCAGTCTCGCACAGCCACCAGCCGTGGTCATCTCAACACCTTGCTCCAGCATGTATGGCTTCCTAACCACAG